ACGGTTGGCTGGGGATATCTCCACCAGCACGACCGTTGTAACCGCGGGTCGATGGGGTGGCTCTTCTTCCTCCTCGCCTTCCAGGTCGGACGTGACCTTCTCGAGAAGCCCGAGTTCGTTGGCTAGGCACGTCTCCAGTCGCTTGCCCTGGTCATTCGACAGCCTACTCACTGCAGCTACGTCGTTGGCGGGTCCGGAACATTCTCCATGACCGCGTTCTACAGTGAGTTCAAATCGCACCAAGCCGAGGTCTTTAACTTGCGTTATTCCTAAAACTAAATCGCAAGCCAATCCCTTCACATGCAACGCGTCCCATTCGTGTTCGAGTCCACCGAATAATCCGCGAACTCGGTATCCAGTCGTGATGTGAGACAGCATGCCATTCGCCATTCTTATATCGACATCGCTGTCTATAGGCGGGACCCCTCGGGATTGCAATAACGTTGCGAGACGGTCACCAACGAGGCTGACCACGGCGCCGGTATCCACGAGGGCCCTAAACGGTCGACTGAATATTTCTACGGTTACGAAGGGTCTTGTGTCGAGGGAAACAACATCGTGATTGGTAGAGACGGGGAAATCCTTTATTCGTTGGAGCCATGCGCTCCATTGTTGGGGGAGTTGTGTTTCGGATCGGGGATTTGGACTCAGCCGCCCCCTCCTTAGCTGAATCCTGTGTGCGTTTCCCGCCTTACAATTGCATTTTGCGGTCGAGACGCCTTTTGTTTTGCAATAAAAACACTTCCATGTTCTTGGTTCGGGGCAGTCGCGGAACAAGTGTCCCATACGGTCACAATTCCAGCAAACGTACTGGTTGTTGACGTGGACGGTTTTCTCCAGTGCCACCCCTCTCACACTCGTGTGGGAGTTGGGCACGGATAGGGTTTGTGCCTTGGATCGCGAACTCGGTCCTTGCCGCGCGCGGTCGTACCTCTGGTGTTGCGGGTAGGACCGGGAGCTCGGTTCGCGCGGTGGCTCAGCAGTGACTGCGGCGTTATCGACCGGACGTTCAGAACGCCTTCGCCCGTGGTACGCGGTTTCAGGAATGAGAGAGATAGCCGGAGGGGGTGGTGGACGAAACGTGCTCTTATCCCTAACGTAGGACTCGTACTCCTCGGCACGCTTAATCAGTTCGGTCAGAGTCAAGCAGTCCTGGCGTCGAACCATAAGTTTGTATTCGGGTCGCATATTCGTGTAAATCAAGTCAATCTTATCGTGGGACGAAATGGATCCTCTCCTTCGAATTAGCGTGCTTAACGCGACTACAAAATCTCTGAACGGCTCCTGGTCACCCTGTGTCCGCTTACGAATCTCTTCGTCCAAGTTACGGCGATAACCGAGAGGTAGATATTGGATTTCGAAATGGCTACGAAAATCCTGGAAATCGGCCCACGCTTCCCGGTTATTGCGGTACCATAACAAGGCGTTACTAGTCAACAGTTCCGGCAGAGCCCTGAAGACCTGGTCTGGGGCTAAGGAATACGCCTCCATTAGCTCCTCCAAGCGTTCCAGGAACGATACCGGGTCTTTGCGACCGTCAAAACGAAGGTTCCACTTACGAACGACGTTGTAAATGGAGGCTCCGTCTAGCGATTGGCGGCCTGAGGGGCCAGCGTGGCTCGATGGATCGGCATCTCGCAACTCGCGAGTTGCCGAGGCGTTAGGACGTGGTACCGCACCGTAGCACAGATCGGCATAATTCGTGGTAGGGGGTGCGGCGTGAGCGGGAACCGTGTCGGTCGCGTAGTGTCCCGTGGGAGTCGCGTCGTTTGACCTCAAGGTATTCACCATTGAGGCTAGGACCCGTCTCACTAGCGTAGAGTCCGCATTCGGTGACAACCCAAGTATCTCCCGTACACTGTCACGTTCGTCGAGGGCGGTATGTACGCCTAACTTGTCCTTAGACGCGTATTCCAACCCGTAATTCGCCGGCGGGATATTAAGAGTGCGTGGAGGTTCAACGGTCCGGTAGGGTTCGGTACGGGTAATTGCGGAGAATGGCGATCGCCAAAAATCCACAAAACTGTTCCTAAGTTCATCTGCCGTACCTGCCGTAGAAAGGCCGTATTTACTCATCTCATTCTGCAGCTCCTCTTTGCTCAGTCTATAAATCCACCCGACGCGCGGTTCGTCAAACGGTGTGCGCGGCACGATCGATTCCGTAGACCCACGAGTGGTAACGGCAGTGGCAGCGGTGGTCGCTGTAGCGACATACGTTGAAGTGGTGACGGCAGTTGTAGTGGTAACGGTGGGAGCGGTAGTAACAGCGGGAGTGGTTGTGACGGCGGGAGCGGTTGTGACGGCGGGAGCGGTTGTGACGGCGGGAGCGGTTGTTACGGCGGGAGCGGTTGTTACGGCGGGAGCGGTAGCAGTTGGCGGTGGGTCATTGTTTTTGCGCGGGGGCCTTTTCCCCGATTCATCTGGAGTCAGCATATACATAACTGGGAAAAGATAAGTCCAAAGGCGCAAAAATAATTCCCAAGGTGTCATTTTTTAATTATTACTAGGAAATACAACAGTCGACGATAATGGTTGTTGTCGGAAAAATACGCAAAAGACTGTGTAACTGTCGTAAGGCTCGTCGCTAATCGCAAATGTTCAGTATAATATTTAAACCACTGATACAATACCCCAACAATCAATGTTTACAATCGCAAAAAGTAAACAAAGTTCCGATAATACGTTAGCCTAATGATCGTTGTGAACTAATTGTTACTGAGCAATACAATAATATGTTAACCAACAATATTATTATATCACTAACGTGTACGTAAACCGTCGTAATTAGGCTCAATCCAAAATATAACAATCCTGTGTTATTATATTAAACAATGTTATTCCCTGTGTGTAACAATATTAAGTGTATTACAATACAATAAAACTGGTGTATTCTAATTGCTGTTAAATATTAGGACGACCAGAAGTATAACAATATGTTAATCAACAATACTATTATAAAACAGTTATGATCCCAAATATTTAACGCACGTCGGTTTCGTTATAAATACTATGCAATGTAATGGATGTAAATATTGTTAGAAATAAGCCCACTAGAATTGAAAGAACTACGGGGAAACTCCAATAACAACCGTTATCAAACAGCTGATCGGGCCGCTCTTATCTCTTGCCCATTCATACAGAGAACAATAGGCAAGCGCAACACTAGTGAACTGACAGGTCGACTAGCCTTCTTAAAGCAGAACAATCCTTATAGAATATTCGGAATTAAATCGAAAGGCAGTGTTAACTATTTCCTACTTAAATGATTATAATCAAATAACAATGAATTATCAGAGGAAATGTATAAACACTGGTATAAATTAATGCGGTGTATAAACGGTTAAGTTCGAAATCAATTAAATTCCAATAAATATCCTGTAATTCTATTACACAAACGTAGTACGTTAAACAACAGTACTGACGTTTAATCGTATCTAGTTCTACGGTATAAAACCAATATTCCACTGTAACGTCTCGTACACAACACTGATTATGGTAATGTTCGTATGTGTAATATTTATTAAATTCTGAGCCAAAACAATTAATTATCGACTATGCCTTCGGGCGCCATAAGATATCGTTAACATTCAATTGTCCCTGTTCGGATCGCCATTTGATATGACGAAATTTCGGGTTGAGAGACAAAATTATATTTTAAAGCACGTGTTTGTCGTCTCACCTGAAATTCTGTCACACCTTAAATTTGTCCAGATAGCTTAGCCTACTATGAGATAGTCCAGGACTCTAACGTGTTCGTTAATTAATTAGCGTTTCGAGTTTATTGGCTCAGAATTAAATACAACAATAATGCTTACAATGTTAAGCTTACCTTTAACAAGTGCTCATCATAGCCACTCGAAAAATATGTGTAGTTAAATTTAGAATTTTGAATAAATTATCGAGAATGCGGATGACCTAATTAATTAGAAACTTAACTAAAACGTGAATCGGTCGTTATACTTGGTAATCACCAAAGTAAACGTGTCGGGAAAATTAGACTCGGTCGATCACCAGAGTCGGTACGGGGTTTCTTAAACCAAATTTACGTAGGACGGTCCGGGGTAACGGGGTAAGTCGTACGTAAACCGTTCTGGCAACTTAACTGATTTCCGAAGCTGGTTTAAGACAAAAGGTAGTGTGCTCGTACGTGAAAAGGCGTGCGGGTTGCGCGCAACTGCGGCACAGTAAAATAAAAATAATAAAACTTCTCTATGAGATTAAACAAAATAAATTCGGTAGCACACTAACCTGATGACTTAGGATTCTACCAGGAACGGGGGAAATCTTTAATTGACCACAATTTAGGAGGTTATATACTGTTGGATTGTCTCCAAACAGCAAGCGTACTGACGGTTCGGTAGCGGGTGGACGACTGACCATGAGATCCGCTCTTCTCGTCCTTCTTCGCCATCGCCCCTGGCGGCGGGGTAGGTAACTAGCGTCATCCCCTCTACGATGACGTAGGACCCTTGCCCCTACGATGCCGCTGACAACGCGGGCGCGGCTTACCCCGAACGTAGACAATTATAATATTTAATATGAAACTTTTAAAAATCGGGTTTTTACCCCTTGACGGGTTTTGGGTCGTTACACCCTTCCCGTTTATAAATACGTCTTACAGGAGACAACATAATTTATATTCTAGCCTCGAATGTTATGGGTCAAATTGGAACACTGGAAGTTTGCAAACTTTCATCTTGCTATAAAAAAATGAAGTTTGCTTTGTTAGCTCGCATCTTGGTAGCTTCAGATGAAATGGCAAAAAGGATCTGTAATGTACTGTAGTATATTTACATCTTATCAAACGTTCCCTAGGTGACGTCACTGCACAACGGATGCCTGAATAGTAAAAAGTCAGCAGACAGACTTAAACTTGTATTACTTACTTCAACATATCTGTATAACTTACAATTAAGACGGGTTCTCCGGTCAGTTCAAGATGGTGGCTAAACATGCTAACTTTTCTGAACATGATTTGTGAAACAGTGTTGACCGTATGTGAAAAATCGAAATGATTAGTATACTAAATTGACGACAAACTAGTTAAATGCTGATGCTTGTAAAATAATGTGCCTGAAGTGGAGTACAGATTCACCTACGCATCACAGAGGTTAGGGTTAACCGGTAGCGTTGCAGCAGTGCTAACCACAGTGTAATGGGTTTTGGTAATCAAATCTTTGAAACTCGTTTGGATATCTTCACATTTATCTTGATCCACCTTCACATAACCAACCTCAAATCAAGGAATCACCCAATCACCCAAATTAAGGAAAAATTAAAAATGTTCATAAAATAAGGTAAACTGAGATTGATACACTTGGTACACTGTGGTTGTTTACATAACTGACTTATTTTTATCTGCCGATATATTCAAAATCAAATCTTCTTAAGTTATATAGTATCTGAAAAGTTATTTAACGGTTTGTAAAGTTTTATTGACATATAATATTCGGTTTGTTAACTTCCTGTGGCCTAACTTATGCCAACCACACAATGTTAACTATATGTTATACAAAGCAGCCACAAAAGCAATTAGTAGAGCTGTCATGGTGGTTTGCGTCAGGGTCATGACGTAATAGAAGTTTCACATCAGCTGTTGTGTTAATGTACACACTAGACAACAATGCATCTCTACTGTGCAAGTACAGTAGTTGATATGGGGTTGCAATGTGTAGTGAGAACCGCATGTTGGATAAGTAATTATGGATTGAACTGTTATGTTGCTTTCCAACTTTAAGTGTAGATTTGGTTAAGGGTTTTCTTCATGATGCATACAACGTTTGTTTTTAATATGTATATTGAAAGATGAACGTAGTATTTTGGTTATAAGATTCGTAGCACCGATTGATCAAATACAATACAAAGTTTTCTTTATCCATAGGGTAAAAAAACAATCAGCTGTAAAGAGGGCATCAGCTGTGAATTTTATCACTGGTACAGACTGAATAAAAAGATTGACTGCGGTAGCAATAGTTGGTGCAATGTATGTACTATAAGATAGAAGCCATCATGGGAGCTAAAAAGATCAACAGTATACAAATTTTTGTGTGTGAATTAGATTAAATCACATTGGGGTGTGACAAATTGTTAATAGCACGGATTATACATTAGTATTTTTAGTATCATACTAATTTTCATCTTGATGGTTGAACTGAAGTTATAAATTAGTACTATGTATACGGTCTCAGGTCCTCTGATTTATCAGACGAAAATCCATATATTCCCATAACTCCCCAACCACTTCCTCTAAATGTAAAAAAATAAAACTGTGCGTTAGATTATTCATGTAAAGGTATTATCAAATAAGAAACTGTTTATTAAAATACCATTCTCACTGTTTTTCGAAATAACCTAAATAGGTTTGGGATCAGTCTAATTATTTGTGGAATTTTATGTTCTAAGATGAAGTAGGTAAAAATAAACAATAACAAAAATAAATGTGAAAGGCTTATAAACTAAATACCTATGTAAACCCAAAACATATTATTCAGTCTTACTTTATGACGTTCTTGTATATGTCTTGAAGAGATTAACAGATAAGTACACAGCTGTTTTTCTATCAAAAGGAATGATATTTTCTACAGGTACAAGGGGTCAGGTAAAGCTACTATAAATACAAAAAAATATTCAATCTATTTGAAATTTAATATGTTTTAGGTGGAACTTTTAAAATTAAAACTATTAGTTTTTAATATTGATGATGTAAACGTTTAATAAGCTACTTGTGTACCTGTTGCTCGAATTCGAGCAATTGCTAAGTATTACAGGTTACTGGCGTTTTTTTAAAACGAGTAACATTAAAAATTTCCGATGACTTTAAAAGAGTCGACTCAAAGATTATGGAAATATTCACGATGTACATAACAGTTCAATATAATAAACATTTCTTGTAAATATCTTATAATTTTTCAAAAGCTGATCTTATTTTTTTGTGTTTTCTACAAATGATTCCACTCTTAGCCGCGTTAGGCTGTCCATAATAACGATTATAAAATCTAAAAAAAAATAACATTATTTCTATTTCTTCTTCTTGGTGGTGTACTACAGTATGACTTTCCTATGTTTCCATAGTTGCAAATCGGCTCTTTCAATGATTGCACAAATTCAGTTTTATTTTTAGTATATCAAATTGTCCAGGCTTTCTCGATATTTTTCATTGTAATATTTACACCAACCTAAATTCAAATAGTTAATATTTAATTTCAACCAAGTCAATAAATGTTTGTAGCACGCATTTCCTTAAATTGCAACTAAAATATCAACAGCAATTAAATTATCCAGCTGATCATAATGTAAACAAATATGTTCTTCATAAGGATAACGTGGGAACTTTAAAAGCCACTGGGGCAGAGGCCAAGGACTTTAAAAAAATATAAGGTCAGTTTGAAATCTACACACCTAAAATGATCATTTTGGTATATAATATGTATGGTTAAATCTAAAAACAAAAAAGCCTTATATTTCACAAAGTTTCATGTAGAGTATTAATAATATAGATTTTAAATGTCTCAGCTTAGTTACTGAATATACACTTATGCAGTAAAATCTCATCTATGATAGGATCTGTATATTGTCCACTGTTTCAACAACACAAAATTCACAAAATTCAAGTAATTTTCACAAAGTAAACGTTTACAGTAGAAAGACGTGTTTAAGTTGATGTGATTTATGTGATTTATGAGACGGTCAAGAGCAATAATCCTAGTTTATATCAGACTTAACACCAGCGAAGGTAATCCGCAAAGGAGAATTTGTCCAGTGTAAAATACTCTGCATTGTGGGTCATTTATAATAGAAAGGTATTTAGTTTTTATTTCAACAACTATTTTTTTCATTTATGCCAACGCTAATTTAGTATTAAAAAATTCTGAATCATGTTATCCTGATAAAATTATCCCTTTTTTACTCCTGATTAATGTATAGTTTCAGGATTACTACACTAAGGATTTGACATAAATAATATACAACTAGATGTTGAATCACATAAAAGGGTATTGAGTTGTTATTTTTATAGCAAGCCCAATAACAGTAACTTTGTACTACTTTGTTGGCATCATAAAATATAATATTGTTATATATATGTATATGAAAGAAATAAACATATAATTATATTTATGTTGTGGCACAACCTTTTCTAGCAGCGGCAACAACCTTACGAAACAAATTCAAATCCACCATCAATAACACAATCTAGGGTAAGTTTCACTAACTTTTTGGTAGAGTTTATAAAAGAGTGTTTACATTTGGTGCCTATAATGGTATTGATTCTGTAACAACTATTGAATACAACAAGTATTGTTATTTATCAATTCAACAGCTTACACTATAAGAAGTATTTATTTATGTATGTAGTTATATTACACTTAGAATTACTTAACTATATATTTCTCACAAAGTCAAGAGACAATACAAATTATTTAGTTTACTTTTTGAAATCAATTAAGCACTTAATCTGTTACAATAGCTCTTGACTTAAGAGTTATAAAAACCCGTTTACTGCCCTACTTCAACATTTTATCAGATGCCCAAAAAGGTTTGGGATTGTAAAACAAAACTGTTAAGAGTAGTTTACATTTGATATGCACCAGGTAACTACAGTATTATTTAAAATCTAATCTAGATAACATGTTGTATGAGGGCAAAACTGTACCAGATATAAGTTGTATTCAAAACGTAGCTTAGAGTATTACCAACGAATGTATGCATAATAAAATCAAACCACGCAATAAAACAACTAGATTTATTCTTTAGAAGCTAGAAATCGTTTGATAATAATATTTATTTCTTCAGTTATTGGTTATGATTTATATATTCTGCGATTGATCTTTATTTGACATTGATAAATAAACCCAAGGAACTTTGATACTGGCTGAGCGGTTTTATTTACTCTGAGAGGAGTTTAAAGTTTAAACTTTAGCCCTTGTTTGTAGCTCTAACCTTGTTTCAGCACTTTGCAAAAGCCTCACCATAGCCTGAATATTAATAAGGGATGTTTTCTCTCGCTAGTGATGTTATTTTTCACCTCAGGGTGAATGTTTCTAAACATGAGGATAATTAAAACGTAAAAAATGTAAATAAGTTTTGATAAAGCACACTGCCATGATGAAGACAACTAAAAAAAAAACTAAATGAGAAATTAAATAATAAATACTCTTTGTAAATGATTACAGTAAGTGAATCAATATATAAAGTAGTGGTGACGTATCCATCCCCACACCCTGTATTGTAACTTAACATATGATTAATCCACAACACAGACCCAAGAATATTAACCACACAAGTATAACTTCATTGTTCTTTCAAGCCCTTGTTTGTGGTATTATATGGTTTGACTTACAGCATTAATTTGAATTCAGATTATTTTAAGCACAAAATACTGTTGATTCTTTAAGTCTTTCGTTTGAAAAACGCATGATGAATCTGCTTTGTTCGCTACCACATATAAATTATATAATAAATAACACGTACTAATACTCTCTTAGCTCCTAAACATAATAACTTACTTTTCAATAATGCAACATAAATCTCTTTTTCCTTATTATATTTTACTAAGCTGCTGCAAATTTAAATTTTCAAAACATCATAAAGTGTTATAAATTCTACTTTTATTCCATGGAATAGTAGGCAAATAACACTTTATTTCCTTCTTTATTACATGAAAATCAACAGACCTAGGAGGAGAAATCACAGGTGCTCAAAATGAAGATAATTTGTTTGTTGATATCAGAAAACGTTTTGGAACTACTTTTGTTTGAGAATAAGCCTGTTTATCCTGCATATATTTACACTTTAGCTAAAACGTCTGGCAAGTTTTGAGATTATTTTGCTACACGTCCAAATTAATAGGGCAAATTAATTATTTTTGTTGTAATTAATTCAGTTCTATCAAAATAATAACAAAAAATTAAGAAGGTAATAATATTTTTGATTATTTTATTCGTGCCAATAGGTTATTGGCTGCTAAGGGAGGGAGTAAAAATATTAATGGTTGGTTTAATTTCAGCTAGTTCTTTAGTATTAAAATAAAAGGTTTGTCGTAATCTTAATCAAAAATCAAAAACAAAAAAAGTTGAAACATGATTTTAAAAGTATTTTTAAGACTAATGACGT